GCAGATACAGACTCAAACATCTATAAACAACTGATATTTAACTAAAGTATCTGAGTAATTATGAAAAAAGTAAATGATTAGACAAAGAAAGGAGCTGGTTGTGGCAAACGCCTTTAATCCCAGCACTGGGGAGGCAGAGGCAGGGGATATCTGAGACTTGGAGGCTAGCCTGGGCCACATAGGGAGTTCTTGGACAGCTAGAGCTACCCAACAGAGAGACCATGTCTCAAAAGAAAGTTATTTTAACAAATGCCATGGAACAATCAAACATGCACACAGCTGTCTGTAACTCCAGTTCCAAGAGATCCAAGGCCCTCTCTGGCCTCAGTGAGCATCAGGCAGATATATGGCACACATACATACATGTACGTAAAATACTCATACATATAAAATAAAATAAAAATAAAATTAAAAAGTACTTCTCAAACTCGGATCTTGTACCACATACAAGTAAATCCAGTAGAATCACTTGAACCCAAGAGTTTGAGGGCAGCCTAGCAATACAGTGAGGAGCTGTCTCTTTTTACAAATAAGTAAAACTAGAAGAAAATACAGAAGATAGTTGGTGTATTGTATACAAATTATATATATTGAAATTGATATTGTTAGAAAATGTTATATATATTTTTCTAATTGTACCGTTCATCTAACAATGTAATGCAATTTTCTGATCCTTGAATGTTATTACCAACTATTAGGATATAAAGAAATGAAAGTTAGTAGTTAGATATTATAATAGAACTTGTAGTTATATTAGGTATGTTTTCAAGATTGAGTAGATATATTTTAGATAGACAGGTTATCTTCAAACCCTTCAGAGATCTACAGAATATGGCATTTAAAATGTTTTAATAACTTAGAAAATTTTTCTTTTTTGTTATGACTATGAGACATGTCGGCTCCTGGCAGTACCAATCTACTTCAGAGAAAATATGGGCATTGAAGAAACTGCATATGGAGTTAACTTTCATTGTGGCAAAAGTTAGCCACTGGACAACAAAGTATCCTCGAATCAACAGGACAAAATGGACAAACAGGACATAAAACAAAGGATTACTGATTCTTGCCAAAACAAGTGTGGTTATGGCTTTATCAAAAGGCATCTTCAGAGGCCAGGACAAAATGGCACCATCCCTGAAGTGGCCTTCGCAATTCGAAAAAGGTACAGTGCCCTTTTCTTCGAAGGCAGCTGAACAGGCAGTGGGCCGATGGCCTCTGATATGCAATGGAACAGCAGCTGAAACAGTTATTCTTGAAGAGTAACTAAGCTCACGCCTCTCAATAGTAGACTGGCATTTGATGGAGGGATATGGAGAAGAATGGGATGCTGAGATGAAGCCATATATACACAGCCAGGAAGAATGGACAGCTGAGTTGGAAAACCATCAGCAATTTCCAGAATTTGAAATCCTGAATCATGACATGACACTGGTGGAATTCAGGTGTTTCTGGTACATGGACTACTCTCACTCAATGTGAGGTTGAACTGTTGACCTTGTGTACATCCTGCTTCACAAATGAGTCTGTCGGATATGCTGGGCCTATAGGCTGAAGATGATGCCCCAGCACTTCGGAGAAGCCTCAGGTGACTGTCCAGACAGCTGTCTGTTTCTGTCAACTCACAAATTTTTTGGAGGTTGCTTATGTGCACTTCCTGTTTTTATTTTTGTTAGCTAATATTATTTCCTTCTTGGGTCTCTGAGGGAGTTGAAGATTAGTTAGTTATAGTTGAAGGTTAGTTAGTTATAGTTGAAGATTAATTAGGATACATTTTGGACTTACCAAAATAGGATAGATAATGAAATTATTTTCTCTGAATTTGTCAAATACAAATGGACTAGACATTGTTTAGGTATTTATTACTTGTATATATTGTATATAGTTATTATCCTTTTGTATATAGTTTTTCTTATATTAGTTATAAGCTTTTTCTTTTTTTCCTTTTTATTAAAATAGAAAAGGGGAAATATGGTGATATTTTATTTGTATTAAAATGTTATTTGTATGTTAATAAATAAAGTTGCCCGGGGGTCAGAGCTATTAGCAAGCCATAGGAAAGCAGGGCAGTGGTAGCGTACGCTTGTAATTCCAGCACTTAGTAGGCAGAGCTGGGTAAGTCTCTGTGTGTTCAGGGATACAGCCATTATTGGATACACATGCCTTTAATCTTAATACCAATCATGGAAAACCTGGAGGCCTATACAGACAGGCTGTGAGGAGGCGGTCATGTGGTTGGGTTTACAACCAATGAGAAGGCAGGACAGGAACTCTATATAAAGACTTTAACACAGGGGTAGCTCTGGTTCGGAGAGGTAGGACCACTGCAGGAGGAAGGGTAAGGTTTTGGCTCTTAGCTCTGACCTCTTGGCTTTCTTCTTTGCATTGGTTCTGTGTTTATTGTTTGATGGGAAGGTTGGATACATCTACATTGGTGTGATCTTGGGTTACCAAATGCACAACCCATAGAAGTACAACTTTACATTAGTCCTTCATCAAATGTAAAACCAGGTGCTGAGAAGACAGGCCAGGCAGTAAAGCATTTGCTGTGCACACAGGAGGACCTAAGCTTGGATCCTCTGCACTCATGTGAAAGCTGGGCATGTGGCCATTTGCCTGTAACCCCAGTGGAGGGTGGGTAAGGAAGGGCAATGACAGGCAGATCCCTGGAAATTTCTAGCTAGATAATCAATAAACTTCAGGTTCAGCAGACTCTGACCCAAAAAAATAAAAGTGGAAGCCGGGCAGTGGTGGCACATGCCTTTAATCCCAGCACGACTCGGGAGGCAGAGCCAGGCGGATCTCTATGAGTTCAAGGCTAGCCTGGTCTACAGTGTGAGATCTAGGACAGGCACCAAAACTACACAGAGAAACCCTGTCTTGGAAAACCAAAAAAAAAAAAAAAAAAAAAAGAAAGAAAGAAAAGGAAGGAAGGAAGGAAGGAAGGAAGGAGGAAAGCAACAGAGAAAACATTCAACACCAATCTCTGGCCTCCACCTCCACACATGCACTTCCATACATGTGTACACACAGACATACGCACATATCACAAATACACAAACACACAAATTTAACTTCTGTTCTTCAAAAGATATTTTTAAACATTTTTAAAATAATTATTTATTTTTATTTTATGTGCATTGGTGTTTTGCCTGTATGTATGTCTGTGTGAGGGTGTCAGAAGCCCTGGAACTGGAGTTACAGACAGGTGTGAGCTACCATGTGGGTGCTGGGATTGAACCCAGGACCTCTGGAAGAGCAGTCAGTGCTCTTAACCACTGAGCCATCTCTCTTGCCCCCAAAAGATATTTTAAGAGAATGATAAGCCACCAATAGGAAAGTAAGATTTGAGAACCAACCTCCTGAGAAAGAGGCTGGAGAGATGCCTCAGCACTTAAGAGCACTGACTGCTCATCCAGAGAACATGGTTAGTACCTACAAGGTGGATCTAAATCAAGTTCCAGGGGATCCAATGCCCTCTTCTGGCCTCCTGTACCACATAAATTGTGGTAGTACACACCTATAGCATCATCACTCAGGAGATAAAGGCAAGAGAATCAGAAGTTCAAGATTCCCCTTAGCCTGGGCTCCATGAGACCCTGTCTCAGAAAAAAAAAAAAAAAAAATGTCTGATCATACCTGAAGTGACTAAGGCAAAGCCATCCTGTCCTGACTCCATTTTGGTCTGCTCAGACACTTTTCAGCCCTCCACCCCACAACAGTGATGGCTGCCTTGGAAACACATTTGGGATTTCCAGGACCCTGATCATGATTCAGTTCTATTAACAAAAATAATGTTTATATGAACATGAACTAAAATAACTGAAGAAAGTATGTCAAGAGTAATTGTCAGTCAGGCGGTGGTGGTGCACACCTTTAGTCCCAGCACTCTGGAGGCAGAGACAGATGGATCTCTCTGTGAGTTTAAGACCAGCCTGGTCTACAGAGTGAGTTCCAGGACAGCTGGGGCTACACAGAGAAACCCTGTCTCAAAAAAAACAAATAAATAAATAAAACCTTAAACTGTACATTTTAAATATGTGTGCATCACATGAGTTACACATCAAAGAAAGCTATTCAAAATGATCCTTGTCACACTTAAAGCTGTAGCATTATGTACCTTGGCCAGGCACAGAAGACTGCTGTTCCTCACATTCTTCTGTGGATGATGGTCCAAAGAGTCCTAGAACGCATTATGCAGACCAACCTGGCCTCAAACTCAGAGACCTGTCTGTCTCTGCCTCCTGGGATTACAAGCATGCACCCACACCCTGCTCCAAAGAGTTCAAAGCTTAACAACAGACTAAACAGGGACAAAAGAAGGAACAATTACTGTCTCTCTCATACTCATGAGAGTGGGGTACTTTGCCTTCCATAGACTTTCCGACTCTAAAATACAAATCAGATATCCATACTAGACTGAATTCTTTTATACTTTAACCAAAGGGAACTACTTCAAAAATTGAAAATAAGGGGCTGGAGAGATGGCTCAGAGGTTAAGAGCACTTCCAGAGGTCCTGAGTTCAAGTCCCAGCAACCACATGGTGTTTCACAAACATCTGTAATGAGATCTGGTACCCTCTTCTGGCCTGCAGTCATACATGCTGTATACATAATAAATTAATAAATCTTTCAAAAATAATTGAAAATAAAAAAGTAGGGATGGGAGAAGCATAGGCCAATAGGCGAGTGTCTGTCTCATGTATCAAGGCCTAGGGGTTCAATCCCCAGCTCTAAAAAATAAAGTCAAAATGATAGTTTTGCCTTAATAATTCATAAAATTCCAGAAGAATTTAGTCTGCTATACTAAGAAAAATAATCTGCCGTGCTATTAGCTGAAGGTAAATCCTAGTCCTAGACGAACCTCCTCAAAGAAATGCCTGAATATGTCTGTTTAGTAATTCTGATAAACAAGGGATCAGAAACCAGGAAACAGTCTCAGTAGGAATGAATATTTATTTAAAACTGATTGAAGAAGAGAAATGTCCAGCAATTTCACTCACCGATTCTGTTCTTCTAGCTTAGCCAGGAGTTCTAAGTCGTCTGGACTCAACTTTGACGGGGAACATGGGGAAAGCGCTGGTGTTGACAGGGTGGTAGACGAGGATGTAGTGTGTAATGAAGCAGATGGACTTGCCACCTGACTGGCCATCTGACTGACTGTATGCGACACTGTGTTCTTCACCCATGAGAGAGTAGAACTCAGCTTCTCTGCCACCTTGTCTGTCGCCACCTAAGGATAGAACAGAAGGCATATTTTAGTTGTATTGAAGTTATTACCACAAACTTGGCGATCCTGATAAGTTTTACTCAAAACTCACTGAGGTGATGGGGGCTAAACCTGCTTTTGTTACCATTATTCTAACATCCAGATTTGGGAACTTTCTTATCTTTTTTTTTTAAAGGTCTATTTTATGTGTTTGCCTGCATATATGTACATATACCACATACATGCCTGTCGCCCTCAGAAGCCAGAAGAGGGTGTCAGATCCCCTGAAACTGGAGTTATACATGGTTGTGAGCTGCCACGTAAGCAGTGGGAACCAAACGCAGGTTCTCTACAAAAACAGCAACTGCTTTGTAGACCAGGATAGCCTTGAACTCACAGAGATCAGCCTGCCTCTACCTCCCAAGGGCTGGAATTAAAGGCGTGCGCCACCACCACCTGGCACAAATAATGTTTCTTAGGAAGAGCTTCTGAGCTGGCAAAACGACTCAGCCAGTAAATGCACTTGCCATGTAAGCGGAGCGTCTGAGTTTGATCTTCAGAGCTCACATAAAAGATGGAAGGAGAGAACCAATTCCACAGTGTGTCCTCCACACATGTACCATGGCACACATGCCCATGAGTATAAACAAACACACACACACACACACACACACACACACACACACACACTTCTGAATTAACATAAGGTCAGCCACCCTTAAGTTTATGTACAGTTAATTCATTCACAGACACTAGAACACCAATGCATACACAAAAATCTGCTCCAACTTCTGACAGTAGACAGAACTCTCATTATGGATTGTCCAAAGCTATAAAATGGTGGTCTCTCCCCACATCCTATATGTCAACCTTGTGTGACAATTCTAGGGAGGGAAAGGATAATATGGAAAAGAAATTCTAAGACAATATTAAGCCATTGAACACAGCAGTGAAGCATCTAATACAACAAAGATTCAGCTTCAGGTACTGATGGGCAAGGATTTTACCCCAAGCTACCTCTTGCTTTTAGTACCCCTCCCTACTAGAATTTATTTCCTTTTGGAATAGTATTACAGAAGAGGCCTTATGGCCATGGTTATTGAAGAAAAGCTCACAAGAAAAACAAGAAGGATGAAGTATGGGATGCAAAAGAAGGAAGTATAGAGCAAGATTATTTATTCAGATATCTCACCCTCACCTTCAAACAATTGTTGCCAATTCACAGATCAGCCCAGTTCACTAGAGAAATCAAAGAATACTAAAGACAGCCGGGCATTGGTGGCAAACACTTTTGATCCCAGCACTCAGAAGGCAGAGGCAGGTGGCTCTCTATGAGTTCAAGGCCAGCCTGGTCTACAGAGTGAGTTCCAGGACAGCCAGGGCTACACAGAGAAACCCTGTCTTGGGAAGAAGGGAAAAACAAAACCAAAAAACAGTAAAGCCAAGAAAGTATAGAAACCCAACTACGCAACAAGACAAAATGATGTTATTCTATTGATCCTATCTACAAAGAAAAATCTACAAATTTAATTGTGAAAAGGACAGTAATTTGCATTCCGAAAGCACAGAATAATATTTAAAATCAGGAGACTTAACATATGGTCAGAGAGGCTCCAGAGATTCCAAAACTAAAGATTATTGTCATTGCTCTTGATCGCCCACCAGAGCTCAATTGTAGAAACCTAATGCTGAAGACAGCACACATGGGCAGCAGGACAGAGAAATAAAGCTGGAAATGAGCTGGAAGCGGCTTCCCTGCAGCTCACTTGCACAGTTGGAAGGTGGTGTGTATGCTGCTGTGGGGTGGAGACAATGTCATCAACAGCTTTACCCAGGGGTGGGCCCCTGTATGCTACAATACCAACCTGCCAGGGAAAGTGTCCGCTGGTGCAGTCTTGGTATGACTGTTATGAGGATAGCTAACCACTTTTTAATTATATTTTAGGCCCGCTGCACAGAAAAGAATTCATGCCTAACACTGTAAATCTGGTCGAGAGCTTGTGGCTGGGGAGGCCCTAGCAAAGAACCTACTATTGTTATTTTGCTAAACGGACATAGTGCCCAACTGCCTTCTAAATACTAATATTTACACCCACAGAAGGGTGCTGATCTCAGGCTTTGTCAGTGAAGCTTCTTTTTGCAGTGGACAGTGTAACACAGAAACTCACAATTAGTCAAAGTTCTGGGAACAATTAAGTGTGGAGTGCTTGACCTTAAACTGGACATCTATAAAATCCCTTCTAAAGTTCAGGGAACATATAGAAGATGTGGTTTAAAAAAAAAAATGTAAGAGGTAGAGATGGGACGTTCTGAAGAACACTGTTTTCTGGGGCTAGTGAGATGGCCTGGCAGGTCAAGTTGCTTGCTACCAATCCTAACAACCTGAGTTCAAGCTCTAAAATCCATACAGGCCATGTGTCACGTGTGCACCCACACACATATATAAAACACATTTAAAAACACCAGTATGAAAAACTGTCTTCTAGACACGATGAGGTCATTGTGCTCATGAACCAGGGCTGCTGTGATCACCTACAAGAGGCCTGCCCAACATCGCACCCATCCGCATTTCATCATGCAGGGGGAGGGGCTCATGAAGCTGATCCACCACTCAGGGTTCAGCTAATGGTTGTAGGTGGAAGAAGGTGTCCTTTTCTTTATTTGTATAGCCACTTGCTGTGGGATGTTCTGGCTACAGCCACTGATAAACCTGACACTCATGATCATGCAGACAATATTTAAACTCTCTTTCTCAATTATTATTAAATAATAAATATTAAACTCTCTCCAGCTCGTGCTCGCTCTCGCTCTCTCTCGCTCTCTCTCTCTCTCTCTCTCTCTCTCTCTCTCTCTCTCTCTCTCTCTCTCTCTGTCTCTCTCACGTACACAGATGTCAAAGTGGAGGAGGAGGAGGACTTGTTGGAAGGAGGACTTAAGCAGGGGAGGTAAGAGGAGGTAAAGGAGGATTAAGAAGAAATAAAATTCAGGGCTGGAGAGATGGTTCAGTGGTTAAGAGCACTGACTGCTCTTCCAGAGGACCTGGGTTCAAGTCCCAGCACCCACATGGCAGTTCACAACTGTCTATAACTCAAAGATCTGACACCCTCACACAGTCTATATACATGCAGCAAAACACCAATGCAAATAAAATAAAAATAATTAAAAAAATAAAGAAAGAAAATTCATTATATACATGTATGAAATTGTCATAGATGGAATATCTCACTAATGCCAACCATTAACTTAGAATATACTTAGTAAATTCCAGTCCAAATTGAATCTTTATATTCCTGTTAGAAGACCCTCACTAAAGTTAATTACTGCAAAGGCAAAAGCAATCTACTATTTGCTCTGATTTATTAAAATGAATTAGTTTATCATATCCCTTCTGTATACTGTAGCAACAGGCTTCCATTTAAAGAGTTTGGAACAACCAAAGGCATAATTCTGACATCCACTCAACCTTAAAGAAATGAGATTCAGCCGGGTGGTGGTGGCGCCCGCCTTTAATCCCAGCACTCGGGAGGCAGAGCCAGGCGGATCTCTGTGAGTTCGAGGCCAGCCTGGGCTACCAAGTGAGTCCCAGGAAAGGCGCAAAGCTACACAGAGAAACCCTGTCTCGAAAAACCAAAAAAAAAAAAAGAAAAGAAAAGAAATGAGATTCAGCCTAAGCACTAAATAACGCATTACTATAGTTTACTAGTTTCATGGTTTCACACATCTCATGTGATTTAATTATCTTTCATATTGACCATGTCCCATTCTCCCTTTAGCTCTACTTGTTCAAATTCCCACCTCTGAACCTCTTTTTTTAACCCTACCTAGATCATGAACCTCACAATGCAAACATGTTGTGAAGTTCTTGTCCACGTCATAGACATGCTACACATTTATTCTGAAAATTGAACACTGAAAATGTTAAAAATATCAAAAGGGTACTCACACATAAAGGGATACACATTATGATTCAATCTTTATAAACTTCCAGAATGGGCAGATCCAGAGACAAAAAGCCAACAACTTACAGGAGAGAAGGGAGTGAATAACGGCTCCTTGTGAGGTTACCATCATATTCATCCCTAAGTTAATGGTGAAGAGTGTCACAATGAACATGGTAAATGGCACTGCAATATACACTTTAAAGACGTGAAGGGCTGGGAGAAAAAGGCTCAACAGGTAATGGCATCTTGTGGTGGTATTTTACTTGTACTGAAATGTGATTTTAATTGTATGTTAATAAATAAAGTTGTCTGGGGGTCAGAGCTATTAGAGCCATAGCAAGTGCATGGCGGCGGTAGCGCACGCCTTTAAGGACCTGGAGGGCGGTACATTCAGGCAGTGACGAGGCAGTCACATGTTTGGGTTTACAACCAATGAGAAGGCAGAACAGCTAGACTATATAAAGACACACACAGGAAGTAGGTCCCCTTTTCGGAGAGCTCTCTTGGCTAAAGAGGATCCCTGAATCAGGAAGGGTGAGGCTCTTAGCTCTGACCTCTTGGCTTTCTTCTCTGAATCGGCTCTGTGTTTCTTATTTAATAAGACCGTTGGATACATCTACAGCATCTATTGCATAAGCCTAGAGATCTGAGTTCAGATCCCAGAGCCACGTACAGACGGAAGGAGAGAATAAACTCCCGGCTCCCACACAAGTGCTGGGGCATGCGCAATGTGTGCCAACATACACAATATTGGGGTCTGTTTTGTTTTTAACTTTTTTAACCTATATTTTTATTTTATGTATATGATAAGTGTTTTGCCTGCATGTGTGGCTGTGCACCACATGTATGCAAGCCTATGGAGGCCAAAAAAGGGTGTCAGATGCCCTGGGACTGGAGGTATAGATGGTTGTGAGCCACATATGGGTGACTGGACACAAACCCTGGTCCTCTGGAAAAGCAACCAGTGTTCTTAACTGCTGAGCCATCTCTCCAGTACACATTGGCCCCACAATATTTTTAAATTAGCTCAATTTTCTAAACCTGCTTTCCTCTGCTCCTCCACTCCACTCCCCTCTACTTCTT